CCCTCCTCTTCTCAAAACATAAGACTTTTTCTCTGCTCTGATCTTTCCACTTCCAAATATAGATGTGATTAGATTTGAGTAGCACTTGCAAATGTTCAAAGGCCTTCACATCTGTGATTTGGATCCACTGAAGTGCAGAGCACATCTAACCGATTAACAGAAGGAACAAGGTTTTGAAGGGAGAGAATAAATGGCTTTCGGACCGAGTAGCTGCCTCCCAACAATTTCAGCTTCGCCGTCATGCTCAGAGCATGGGCAAAGCAATCCATGGTTCAGCCACACCTGTCCCAGAACAGGGCCCCTTGCCACTGGGCAGATGGGTTTTGGAGTCCTTGTTGGCACTCCCAGTGGCATGAAAGAGTGACTTTGCCGGAGAGCAGGGGTAGGCAACCTTTCCCCTTTAAGGGCCGAGGGACTTCAGCTCCCAGAATCCCAGGAGCTATTGTCCAACATGGGACTATTGGCCAACATGGCTGAGGCTTCTGGGAGCTGAAGTCCCTCGGCCCTTAAAGGGGAAAGGTTACCTACCCCTGGATTAGAGAGTAATGGCTCTGCCTCTATTGCCAGCATGGTGTAGTGGTTTGAGCATTGGACTAGGACTCTGGAGATCAGGGTTCGAATCCTGGCTCAGCCATGGAAACCCACTGGGTGATCTAAGGCAAATCACTCTCAGCCTCAGAGGCTGGCAATGGCAAACCTCCTCTTAAGAAAGTTGCCAAGAAAACCCCATTATAGGGTTGCCTTAGGGTCTCCATAAGTTGGAAACAACTTGAAGGCACACAACAACAACATTGCTAATCTGCTTGAAATCCAATGTGGCACAGTGGTTTCAGTGTTGGACTAAAGGTCCAGGAGTCCAGGGTTTAAATCCCTGCTCAGCCCTGGAAACCCACTTGGCCAAGTCCCATTCTTTCAGCCTCAATGGAGGGCAATGGCAACCCTCCTCTGCATAAATCTTATCAAGAAAAACCCTTAAGGTCAGCATAAGTCAGAAATGACTTGAAAGTCCACAACAACCACCACCTGCTTGCACAATTTTATTTATTTATTTATTTATTTATTTATTTATTTTGCCACTGGGGTGAGGAGAAGATGGGTCACCCTTTTGCACTTTGGTTTTCCTTATTTCTGCACTATATAACCATGGTGGCTTTCATGTACAGTGGGTCCTGGGTATCTGCTGGGGTTTGGTTCCAGGACCTCCCATGGATACCAAAATCCATGGATCTTCAAGTTCCATTAAGTACGACATAGTAAGATGTCGTCCCAAATATAAAATGGCAAAAATCAAGGTTTCCTATTGGAATTTAGATATATATATATAATTTTCAAGACATGGATAGTTGAGTGGATACTAGCTGTTCTCCTACTTCTGCTGGTGAATTGCAGAAGTGGTATAAACTGGTGGTTGAGAAATGGCATTGTTGTGTTTCTCCCTGCCCCTAGTTCAGAAGAACAATACTGAAATTATTTTCAGGGGGAATTGGCAAGAACTCTGAGGGTATTTTAAAGACTTACACATTTTATTTGGCAAAAAGCTCTTGTGGCCTCCTCAGAAGCGGATGGAGTCCCTAAGCTCTCACAGATTTCAGAGAGCAGCCTGGAGTTTCCAAAAGCATTTGCCAAATAAAACTTGTCAAGTCTTTCAGATACTCACAAGGCTTTTTGTTGCTCTTCCAGAAATTCACTGATATTGTGTCAACCGCAGCAATGGATTCTGTGTCCGTTGCAATGAATTTGAGGCGTTATCATAACAGTGTGGGTAGTATTTGTTCAGTATGGATACTGTTTGAGAGGAATTTCATCTGTTGTTACAATGCTGTTGTGACATGGCTGGATTGCAGGGGGTTCTTTGTATGTATGTATTCCTAGAGGTATACAAAGCATGAAAAGGGCCTGAGCTCATCCTAACCAATGCTGCCAATTGGTACCCATTGGAAACACATGCACCCATATCAGGGGCACTTGTGCATATATGTACCCAAAGTCTTTGAGCATGTAGAAGCTATCTTGAGGATACTGGGACATGTAGTTCAAAAATAACTTTTGGTCTCTTTGGTCTGTTTGAAAAGCACTCAGAAACTTCAGTTGGCCCAAAGAGCTGCAGCCACTTTAGCTGCTGCCAGTCTGCAGAATTAATGTAGTTTGACACTGCTTTAACTGTCATGGCTTCATCCTATGGAATCCTGGAATTGGTAGTTTGTCGTGGCACCAGAGCTCTCTGACTGAGAAAGCTAAATAGCTCAGGAAACTATAAATCCCAGAATTCCATAGCATTGAGAAATGACCTGAAGGCACAAACTACCACTTGGGAGGGAAGTTGGATTGTTGTTATTAACTGCCTTCATGTTGATCTCGACCCATGGCGACCCTATGGATGAGACATCTCCAATCATCTCATATGGATGAGACATATCCAGTTGGATATGCATCAATCAATCAATGGATCCTGGTGTTTGCAATGACTGCAGTTCCTGCATTGTGCCCCAAAAGGCTGGAATCAAAGTAATGCAGCAAGATAGCAGATATCCAGATCTGGAAAAAGAAAAACCAGGAAGACTTGGACGGGGGCCCAAAGGATAGAGAAAAGCAACTCTTCAACAGATGGAAATGTGCTGGAAACACATTGTGAATGGCCCTTGGGGAAATGACAGGGAAGCCTCCCAGGCACTTACGCACTTCCAACACTCAAACCGCTACACCAGGCTGGCTCTCTAAAGTTGTTTTTAACGTATCTTCAAGTTGACTCTAATGTACGGTGTAACTCCATCATAAAGTTTGCTTTTTGAAAGATTTATTGGGGGGGGGGTGCCATTGTCCTCCTCCAAGACTGAGAGAGTGTGACTTGTCCAAGGTTACCCAGTGGGTTCCCATGGCCAAGTGAGGACTATTTTTTAATTAGGATCAATGATCCTTTTTAAGAAAACCTACTAAGAACACAAAGCTAGAAGATGGCTTAGGTTTAAGGAACTTGTACATTCATAACCTGTCTGAAGACCTCTCTGCAGTGCAAGGCTGCCCAAGACATTTTGCCACCCGAGGCAGAACAGCAAATGGTGCCCCCTCCAAGCAACCCAATGTAAACTCATTGTAAAATTCATTGGGTACAGAGGGGAAACCCCTCAAGCCTCTTGCTAGCTCTGGTCTTGCTTGAGCATTCAAAGGACGATCCTTTGGACAACTATAGTGGACCATGGGCACTATGAACATTGCTGGTCCAAACATTTCAAATTTCACTATGCCATTCAGTTTGGAAACATTCCCAGTTCCAGTCAAATCATGGAAGTAGTATACCACCACTGTCTCACTTCAAATTGAATTTGGATTAACCCATTTCTTAAACCCTTATTACAGTATTCTTTTAAATAGGTAACATGTGTTGGGACATTTTGGTATTCGTTGCTGCAGTTCTTGGGTTTTTTAAAACATCCAATGTTTCTCTTGTCCCAGACTATTTTTTTCATTGCTATTACAAGGTGTAACATTCTCTTCCCAATCTTTTTTAATTTTGAGATATTTCAGAGCAAAAGAATCTTCAACTCTTTTCCTTCTTTCTTTTAATTTTTTTTTTCTTAGAGCTGAAGTACATCACTGAGATTGCACTTTCATACAATAGCACTTTCTTGTTGATGTGTGCCTTCAAGTCATTTCCAATTTTTGGCAATCCTAAGGCAAAGCTATCATGGGGTCTCCCTGGCAAGACTTCTTCAGAGGAGGTTTGCCACTGCCTTCCCCTGAGGCTGAGAGCATGTGACTTGCCCAAGGTCACCCAGTGGCTTTCATGGCCAAATTGGGAATCGAACCCTGGTCTCCAGAGTTGTAGTCCAACACTACACTATGCACTACAACTCTAAACAATATTTTTTAAAAGAAGCCATAGAATCATTTCTGCAAGCTACACCCTGAAGTTTGGGTTCTTTTGTAAACCTTTGGAAGCACCCCTGTGCAGATGCAAGAAATTGCTGCAAACAGACCCCAAAAAGAGTGGAACAACTGGAGATGGTGGTGACAAATAAATAACCACAGCAAACTTTGGCAAAATCCAAGGAGCTATATGGTGAGAACTCATGCTTCTTTAGACCAATTTGGAAGTGCTCTCAAATGGCTGTTCTCATTTCACTTGGCTTCCTTCTCTGTCCTGCTAAGGTACATATATTCCCACAGAGAGCCATCCACATCAGAGCGAATGCTGCAATGTTGTTTGGGGGATTTCCTGCCTACCAAACAAACAAGGAAAGGTAGGCTAAAGCCTGACACAGTGGAATAATTCTGCTGTTTGTGGAGGGAAACTGGGCTTATCTTGTTGCTTTGCAAACAGGGGGTGGAAAGGAAACCAATCCTGACATATTGCAAAGCTCTGTGCAGATACTGCACTCATATAAGCAGGCAGATAACAAAGAAGTTGTGGGAAAAGTCAGTCATTTAGTGCTCTCCCTGTCTAGTCCTATGCCAGCAGAATTTCACACAGCTGTGCGGTGAGCTCATCCGTGCTCCAGCTAAGTTTATCACAACCCAGAAGAGAGAGGAATCTTTGGCAAGCAGGATAGTTTAGAAATCCCATCGGCCTGACCTCCTTGCTTGAAAGAAATGAGCCCGAGTCTCTTTGGTCTGGACACCTGTCGCCCTTTGAGGAGAAGTCAAGCTTCATCTGGGCTTTGGGACACCCCGTCATGTATTCCATGGGAACCTTTTGACCATCCAGGTGCAGTCCAGGCCATGTGTGTAGTGGAGAATATTCAACTGGCACGCGCTGAGGCTGATGTTCCATGGAAAATCAAAATGCGTGCTTTCCAATGAAGCACAATGATTTTATCCAGTGGTGGTTTCCATGTCTATGAGGCAGTTAATTCCTTAGAGCAGGGCTGGGCAAAGTGTAGCCCAAGGGGCTACCCAGCCTCCTACAGCAGGCCACTCTTTCCTTTAAATTTTAGTCTAAACTATAATGGATAAGTATGTAGAGAGATCTTGTAGCACCTTTGAGACTAACTGAAAGAAAGAAGTTGGCAGCATGAGCTTTCATTGACTTCAGTCTACTTCCTCAGATGCATATTATTATTATTATTAGGTAATAAAAGTCTGCAAAATCAATATGTAGAGAGATCTTGTAGCACCTTTGAGACTAACTGAAAGAAAGAAGTTGGCAGCATGAGCTTTCCTAGACTATAGTCTCAGATGCTTTTTTACTATAAAGCAGGGGTAGGCAACCTTTCCCCTTTAAGGGCTGAAGGACTTCAGCTCCCAGAATCCCAGGAGCTATTGGCCAACATGGCTGAGGCTTCTGGGAGCTAAAGTCCCTCGGCCCTTAAAGGGGAAAGGTTGCCTACCTCTGCTATAAAGGATAAGAAGAAGCTGTGGAAGCTCAGCACTTCTAAAACTTTATCAGTCAAACTCAGATCTAGATGTGACGTAGGATTTCCAGTCTGAGAAATGAAGATGGCTCCTTTTGCAGAAGAGGGAATTTCAATATGTGTTATCATACCTCCAACTTCTGAAATTCTCTCTTCTACACAACCATTAATGGAACAAGAGTCCTCTCCAGTTTTCACTCTGGCAACCCTATACATGGGAAGGCATGTTCTTGCATATGTACAAGTTCCACAACAGCTAGGCATCCCCCAAAATGGCATAACAGTTTGAGTGTTGGACTAGGTCTCTGGGATACCCGGGTTGAATTCCCACTCATCCACTGAAACCCACTGGGTGATCTTGAGCAAGACACACTTTCCATAGCCTAAGAGGAAGGCAATGGCAAATCTCCTCTGCAGAAATCTTGTCAAGAAAACCCTAGGAGAGGGTATCAATAAGCCGGAATGGAATTAAAGGCACACACAACAGCAATTACTGTAAGGTTTGGGACTCTGCTTTGGAAAGAACCAAGGCGAGGGTG